AGCCAATGGCAAGTAGAGTCCTAGATTATCAGAGAGGCGCCAACTTGTTCCACTTTCTGATTGGTCGATTAAAATAGCCGCCATGTTAGAATACAAACGTCACACGTACAGCCTGACAGCTGTCAATCAAATGTGGTTGTGTTAATATTAAAAGTTTAAATAAGTGCATATTATAATTTCTTGTTACCACGGTAAGTAGAAATGTCTTATATATGTTATATATGAAGAAATTAAGCTGCACATATTTAAAACATATATATGTATATATGTGTATATATATGTGTATACATTGTGACGTTGCCGTCTCCCGCGCGTCCGCCGGGTCCCTCTCCGATGGAAAAGCGCGGGCTGAAGGGCCGCGCCAGTCGAATCATTGCGAGAACCGTACCGTTACCTCCAGAGAGGCGTCATTAATTGAGATTTCGAGCTTCTCGAGATCTACAAGTAGTAGCCGAAGATCATATAATGCCGACTGAAGCCCCACCAAAAAGTTCGGGCATAACAAAGAGTAAATCTGAGTAAGTTTTATCTTCGGTATTTCTTGCAAATTTACTTTTTTTAAGGGTCATTCTAAAAGATTGTCTTAATTATTATTTCATATTTAAAAGGTCAAAGCAATCGAGTGCAGCGTGGCAATATTTTGAAAAAGAAAGTAATGTTACAGCCCGCTGTAACATTTGCAATAAAGTGTACAAACATGGCGGGAACACAACAAACTTGCTACAGCACCTTAGCACAAGCCACATGTTGTTTTGCTCACAAACGATTGGACAGAAGCGAAAAGCTAGGGTGACTTCCGGATCTAGCGACGAATCCATTGATGATCCTCCACGAAACGAGTAAAAGTCAAACCACAGGTAAAAAATATAAAAATAACCAGTATATAAACTACAAAAAAGTATATAAATAACAAGTAAATAAACAATTATAGCAAATCTAAAAATAACTGATACATAAATTTCATAAGACAATAACGAAAATAACAAATACTTTTGATCACAGGGAAAGTTGACTAGAATCGACGAAGCATTCGAACGTACGAACTCGTTTTCAGGTATCTACACAGTAAAAGAAATCTTTTAATTTAAAAGGATATAAAAGTAAGGCTCTTAAACGATTAAAAGCAAGAATCCAAGTAAAATGGCAAAAGAGCCACGCGCAGTTTTTAGGGCGCAAAGATATATATTTTAAACCAAAAAATAAATTAAAAAATTAGAGAATTTCTTTAATTACATGATTCGCGAAAGGCGGACGTTTCGGCCCTTTTTTTGGCCATCATCAGCGCAAATAATACCAAATTCAACAAATAACGTGCGACAATTGGACAGATGTCAGCAATCAAAGTTATCTCGGCGTCACCATCCACTATATAACTGAACAAATCAAAATGAAGAGTGGCTGTATTGGAGTTTTCCCGATGAATGAAAGCCACACATCTCAGTATCTCGGAGAGTGCTTAAATTCAGTCATCGAGGACTTCAAGTTGGACCAATCGAGGATTATGGCAGTCGTTATGGATAGTGCGGCAAACATCAAGAAAGCTGTACGCGATTTTATGGGACAGGACAAACATTTGGCCT